ATATTTTGTTACTTTGCACAGTGCTACTCGAGGAGCTCATCGTCCAATAATGAATCTTCATGAGAGAAGCTTGAGTGTGTTGGCCTGTCGTTATGTAGATGAAGTAATTATTGGTGCCACTTGGGAAGTTTCAAAAGATATGGTTAGTAACAGTCATGCAGTTTTTGTGTGATCCACTGCCCCTCTGAAGAGGGAAACACTTTCTGCATACTTTATATGATAGCATGAAGCTATATCTCAATATTCTTGAATTTTTTTTAAAGTTGCTTCTTATAGCCTAAAACATGGAATAACAATGTAGCCATAATTCTCTGCATTTTATCTGTCACAAGACAAATATTTGAAGTTACATGCTTTTTGGAGAAAGTGTTCTTTGTGAAAACTATTCCAAATAAATATCATGACTTGTTGAAATTCTCATTAATGTGGATGAACTTGATGAATCAATTTTGTTTTCTCTTCTAAATTCTCATTAGGGGTGAGTCCTTGATAATGTCTAGCTTGAGCTTTGACAGAGCCTTATGTTAGTGGATATGGACACCTTGGTTTCAGATTGGATCAGACTATCATACAAGATCTGACTCTTATAGAGATGGAGAGGTTGTTTCCGTGACTTGAACCTTAGTCTCCTAGATCGCAAAGGAGCAACCTTACCGTTGTACCAAGGCCCGCCCTCTTATATCTGATTCAAAAATCTGATGGGTTGGCTTTTACCTGATCCATCATTGATCCAATCATGATTTGGATCTCTGATCCATTTATGATTCACAAGGGTATGTCAGTTAGGATTAGCCACTCTTGCTTTTCAAACTTCTATAAGATGTTTTAAGACTAGAGATAATTGTTGCATTGACTACATCTTCCACAAGAACAATTATGAGGGAACTACTTCTTTGATTTTCAAGGTAAGGTTACAATTTTTTTTTTAGCAGATGTATATTAGAGGCTTTTACATCAAATACATATTGTATCTTTGTTTGAGTTTATTAAATCTATTTTCTTGTGGTTAAACATTCAAAGAGGTGAGTGAGCTATTTATTTGATCCATCCATATGGTTGTCATTGGCTTTTTTTTTTTTCTTTCACAAGGTGACATTTCTTATCTGCCTGTTAGATTAACTTGATATTTCTATCTTTTTGTATCTGCAGATTACTACCTTTAATATTTCTTTGGTTGTTCATGGAACAGTAGCTGAAAATATGGATTTTCTAAAGGTACCCTGGTGATTTATAAATCTTATAATGCCACAAGAATGTAAATAACCAGATTATTCATGCTATCATATGGCTTGACTTTGCAGGAAGAGTCGAATCCTTATGCTGTTCCGATGGATATGGGAATCTACAAGCAATTAAAAAGTCCTCTAGATATCACCACTAGTACAATCATCAAGCGAATTGTTTCAAACCATGAATCGTATCAGGTACTTCGAATATGGTTATGTTAGGAATGATATTCAAAAGGATAAATTTATCATTTTCAGTATACTGTATGGTTAACATCAATCTTTAATATTTTGGAATGTGTAGTAATTTTGTCACACCATTCATTAAATAATTCAGTCCAGTTTTGAGAAAATTATAAATCACAACTCTAGATAATAGTTTTGCAATTGAAGTCTGCTGTTCATAGTTATTAACTCTGAGCAGTGAACCAGTACGGAGATTTGTGATTTATCATGTTTTCATAACTGATCTGTACTATTTAATGAATGGTGTGTCAAAATTACTGCACATTTTAAAATATTAAATATTGATGTTAAGTTATACATGTCAGCTATTTCATTTCATAATTACTGCATCATAATCACATATCAACAACTCTTATATTATTATTAAGTATTAACTATTAATATTAACTATGAGCTGCAGACGTAAATTGCATGATCAGTACCTAGAGTTGTGATTTATCATGTTTTCATAACTGACTTGGACTATGTAATGAACGATGTGATAAAATTAATACTTTGACTCGCTTGCTTCTGCCATTGGATTATTGATCTTTAACATTCTGAGGCTCTCAAGATGAGAATGCTGAGATGAATTTATGGGGTTATTAAGAAAGATAGGAAAAGAAATACTTTTATTTGTGGACAAGAAGGTATCGCTTCGAAAGAGGATAAGATGAGAGAAAATTGTTTAAGATGATATGAGCATGAGTTTAAGAGACCTCCGAATGTGATAGTCAAAAGAAGTGAAATGATTAATGTTAATGGTATGAGGAGTGGTAGAGGAAAACCTAGAAATATTTTAATAAAAATTATAAATAAATATGTAAATACTCTAAACTTAATTAAACATATGGTTTTTTTACATATCTCAATGGCGGTAAGAGATCCATGTAGTTGATCCCAGATAGTTGGGACTTGCAGCTTTGTTATTGTTGATTCTTGATATATTAGTAAATTAGTCAATGTTGTAGGGTTAACTAGGTTGTTAGTGGACATGATGTGACCATTTGCAGCAGTGGTGATCACAAATGCAATTTTATACTGCTAGTTATGCTCAGTTCAGCAAATACATATGCAAGGAGTAGTGAAATGCCATTAATTTTGATATTTTCACACTTAACCACTTAAAGGCTAAACATTATGTTTTGCACAAGTGTTTCACATCCCTTGCTCTAAGTCATGGCCTTCTGATGATCTGAATCCAAGAATACTTTTTTGCCATTGTTACAGAAACGAAATGAGAAGAAGGAAGCCAGCGAAAGGAGGTATTACGAGAACAAAAGTTATGTAGCTGGAGACTGAGTCTCACGAGGTCAACTGGAAGCTATTATTTCCGGAATCCTCCCATTATTAACTCCTGCAGAGGCAGTAATTGAAATATCGACCCAACATTAATTAGTTTTGAGTTTTCATCATTTTTAACGTTTTGCAGATAGCCATTATGCTGCTGATGTAGCTCAGATGATAGGCTGGAAGGTATAACCACGAGCATTGAGCAACGTAGTCTATCAAGTTAATTCTTTTTTTAACATGCTTAAATGTTCCCGTACCAATCTTAATTATATCAGCCTGGGATGAGTTGTAACTGAGGTTCATTAGATCATACATATGTATTCTTTGTTACTTTATTGTGATACATCATTTCCTTGTATTTTAGCGGAGTTTGACCTTCTTATTCACCTGTTGTTAGAATCAATCAACCATAACCTCATTTATTTACCAAGTGATATCAAAACCCAGAATATGGTAACATGTCATGCTATTTTTTTTTCTCGTTTATATCCTCCATGTTATCCAAATGGATCTATGGAAGTATCTTCCCTGATGTTTTGATGCATGATATAGTGGTTGTTATGAGGATTCGATTTATAAAAGCATTGACACGTCGATTTGATTTGCTGATGGAAACATGGGGGCATAGCCTCGGACCTTCGACGATCTATGGTGGTTGGATCCGTAGTCATTTCTTCAAACAGGGTGAAAGCGAAGCGGTGAGATGGAGTAAGTCGATTTCGTTCGTTTTCAAACTGATGAAGAAGATAGCGAGCCAACCATAGAGTAGGGGTGGGTGAAACGTAGAAATCATTCTTTTCGCCATTCTCACCTCTGCTGTGCAGGGAAAGCTACGCCTCACCGGAGACGCAACAAAAAAGTCACACCTCGCTGATGGAACATTCAATTGACATGAGATAGCGAGCCATGGTGGATGGGCTCGGAACGACGACGAACACAATCCATACTCCTACGAGCGAAAGATGGAAGGGGACAGGGGACCAAATCTGCAGGTTTCCTGTAAAGAACCTTTCGCAAGAACTGCTGTAAAGAGGATATTGCGCTCCCACACGCTGCAACGAGCATGGCTGCTGCCTTTGTGGAGTGGTGGTGGTGGTGGTGGTGGGAACAATTCAGAGGTCAGCGCTAAAGGAGGGAGGTTGGTACCCCATCTCTATCATTATTTTTCATTTCATTCCAGTCTGGATTCCCGGAAATTAAAAATTCTGACCAAAAAAATCATACGCTAAATGGGGGAATAAATCTAGTGATAGATTATTGAAGTGGCCATCAACGATAATTGGTGGATGACTAACTTAGATCTCGACTTGATGGTGTCGAAATATCACTTGGATAATGAATGGTTTAGTGCAACGCTCTTATATTTGGATCCGGAGTCGGATCCTCCATTTTCCTGTCGGATTCGAATTCGGATCACCCACCAACCATTAATCAGCTTCGTCATGCCATACTGATGCCGAGGGGGAGGGATCCCATCCTCACGGTCCCTCCAACTGTCACCGCATTGGAATCCATTTCTTTTGCACCACCTTGAAGACCTCTCTCTTCACTGACCTTTCTGCACTTTACAATTGCAGACGCTGGGCAGGTGGAGGCAGAGGTATGGCATGAACGTGGGATCTCAAACCCACATCTCGAAACTTTCAGAACCCCCCCCCTCATTTAATGACAAGGATACAAAACCATCTGAGTCAACCACAATCTCACAAAATTAAATTGGGTACACGATATGATGGAATGTATATTGGCTGGATGTGCATTGGTTTAAGAGAGAAGTTGTTTTGTTTCGCTGCTTTGAGTGAGGAAGGAGGCAACACAACGAAGAGTATTGGCATGAATCTTTATGTAATGATGAAACCTCATTATGATTCATGTGTTCATTGACTCATTTGTACCATTTGGATTCCAATTAATTAATAGCTAAGGAACCACCACCACTGCTCCCCATGCAAACAGTTAGAAAGACCAATTCATTCGCTATCTCTCTGCATTACATGTAGCTCATGGTGTGTTGTCCATCTCCACCAACTTCAAAGACTTTGGCCTGCAATCTGGTCCACAGCCACTGATATGACTGCCACTACCCTACAAATGTATGGCCTATTTTATGTTACAGGTCTACCTCAGTGAGTGCAGAGACTGTGACTGGATCTTCTTTCTTCAATCTCAAGCAATTTATGGTGGTATTTGCCATGATAAAAGGATTAAGCCTTGAAACTTCTCTTCATTGTGTATTTTGTGAAGAGGGAGCTTTTTTGCTTTGGGAGACACTCACCTGAGATCAGAGAGTCAGCATCAGTATGCACTTGAACTGTGATTGGATCTTCTTTCCTTGAGCTCAAGCAATTTATGACCGCAATGTTGAATTTGCCATGATAAAAAAGATTAAACCTTGGAATTTCTCTTGCTGTTTTTCTTGGACTTCATTGTGTATACTGTGAAGATGAAAGCTTTGCTTTGGGAGACACACCTGAGATTGTATAATTCCGTCTCCAGGAATCGCGTGCGAGTCTGCTCGCAGAGCCCACGCAGGGCGTCAGATCTGGTTACACTTCCGAAAGATTAATCTAGTGCAGAGCATGTGGCTTTGCCTGCTTCTGTGACATGTACCAGATGCTACTGCTCCGAGCCAAACATCTTCTGCTTCAGTTTATTGCTGGGAAGTAGATGATGCCTGCGACAAATGAGAGAGTGTCCATTTGATCTCTCTCTCTCTCTCTCTCTGAGACTAATGCACTTTCTTCTACCGCCTCACTTGCTCACAACGCTTGCTTACAGGGGAAGAATGCTCTGCTGGGGAATCTTTGGAAGGTGATGGAGTTGGTGGGCTTGTTGGGAAAAATCCCAAGTTCTTGACAGGAGAAGGAACGGGAGAAAGCAAAATCTCACCTTTCTCACTATTCTCTTCTTCTTCGTTCTGTTCCTCTCTCAGTCTCTCTCTCTCTCTGTGACGCGCACGCACGCACATTCTTATACGTGCGTGTGTATATATAAATATATCTTTTTCGTCTGTGGTTTCTTGCCACCGTCGAGGGGTTTGGGGAGTCGCGGAAGGCTTACCATCGCGTGGGAGGAGAGGGGTTTGAGAGCTGACGGAGAATGAGAGAAGGCTTCGAAGATGGGCAATTGCGGAACCAGAGAGGAGAATGCCGTCGTCGCCGCTCACGCGCAAGGTGACAGCTTTCGCTATCGTTTTCCCCAAAATTCCCTCCTTTTGCTGCTTTCCCACCTTAATCTTGATTGGGATTGAGCCATTCCTTCTGTTTTGCCTCGATTGTGGACCGGATAGCTCGGAAAACCTCATTCCTGTTGATTTGATCTTCGACTTGGGGTTTCGCCGATTTCGATTTTGTCCGAGTGATTTTTGATGGCATTGTGGTTTGGATTTGACCGATGAAACTAGTTGATCTTGAACTTTTGGAAAGGTTGGATCTTTTTGGTGGACTTGGCCTCCTGAATTAAGATCTTCGAAGGTTTAGGTTTTCCTTTTTGTGTTTCGACTTATGGGGTTCAATTTTTTCTCCTCCTTTGCCTCTTGTCTTTCTTCGTCAACATTGATGTGGTATTGTGTAGTTTTCATGGGTACATCATCTCGTTCCTGTCTTGTTTATTTTTTTCTGATTTATACATTGTTCAGGTAGGTCATGCTGTTCTCTCTCTCTC